ATTAAAGAGAAGTGAAGGGTGGTCCTTAGCATCTTGAAGTGAGGGAAGTCTTCTAAACACACTAAGCTAGAATTTTAAAATTGTTTTCATGGCAAAAATATCCTCAAAACCCATGAAAAAAGTAAAAAGACAAACTGGGAAAAATTATTTACACTTCATGCCCCGCATCATGTGCAGATAGGTATAAATATTCATTGCACCACTGTTTACAGTAGCAAAAGAACAAATGTGTATTAGGGGGCACTGAAAAATACAATGTATGTATATAATGGCTGTTTTATAACCTCTGAAATAAAAGGGGTGAAGTAGCTCTACATTCACCAAGACAGATACATACAGACACAAAAATATGCAAAAGTTTGTGCACTGAGGCTGTACAGACTTTTTTCTTATTATCTAAATAAAACAATGTAGCAACTCTTTACATAACATTTTCATTTTAGATATGATAAGTAATCTCTAGATAATTTAAAGCATTCGGGAAGATGTGCATGCACTACACAATTTTACATCCAGGACTTGGGCATCCTTGGATTTTGGTATCAATGTGGGTGGTCCAGGGATTTTTGGAACTAGTCCTCTGTGGATACTGAGGGATCACTGATGACTCTCTATACTGATATGGAAGCAAAAAGCAAAGTGTAGAACATTGTGTACAGGTGCCAAATGGGAAAAGAGGACACACAAGAATCTGCAGCAGTAATCATCCAGAGAGTCAACTGGATATCTAGAAGTCTGAGAAAAATAAAGATATGTGTGTACTTCTCGTTTGTTCTTTCAAATTATTATGAAGTGTAAACTATTATCAACCAAAAAATTAAATTTTTAATATTTTCAAACCACATGGGCTGTACAAAATAAAAATAATTCAAACCCTATCTTTGTACTTCTCAAACACTACAAAAGAGAAACATAGATCCCAGGAAACTCTTTAAATCCTCTTTTCCCCTTTTCTCATATACTATTCTCATATTTCACAAAACTTGCACCTCCCCAAAAGTCTTCTCTTTGCCCAGCTTGGGACATTTTGTACTAAGCTTTGTTATAAGCATCAATAATAATTAAGACAAAAATCCTCACCCACGTGGAGCATACATACCACTAGCCAGAAGTGAACAACATAAAATAAAGACAGGCATAATCTAGTGAGCTTGAAGTGATTAGCACAATGGGGAATAGAAATAAACAGAGCAGGAAAACGAAGGGTAGAGGGTAAAAGAAAGCACTTTCCAGTCTTAAGCAAGGTGATAAAGTTGAACTCAGGGACAAGATGGCATTTGCGAGAAGACTTCAAGAAGGGAGGTGGGGAAATAAGCCATAAAGATGGGAGGGGGAAGAAGTGAGACGTTCTGTACATATACCCATTTTCCACAATGCATGTAATCTCTACGTACTGCAAACATGTACTAGTAAAGAGCATCCAGTGTTTTAGAAAGACAGAACAAAAAGGGTTTTAGACAGAGAGGAGGAACATACAAAGGGCCTGCAAGGAATCCAGAGGGGCTGGCAGCCGGAGAGTGAGCTGGAAAATGGATGAGTCAGGGGTGTGGGGAGGACCTCACAGACCATGGTACCAGGGAACAGGAAGCGTTAGACTCCTAAGCGGAGAAAAAGACTTTGCACAGGGAAGCCGCTGTGGGCTTCCATTATGAACCAAGTCCCAGGAGTCCCTGGTGTGGCCATGACGCCATCGCGTTGTACCAGGTACCACACACAGTGTCCCTGTACACGGCCAGGGATGGTTCACAGACTCAGAGCCTTTCGACTTTGGTACAGATGATGTTTTAGTGCATTTAGCAATGAAAAGCAGTTCACTCCTAAACCAAAAGTGTCAATAAGGACCAAAATGCATAACACATTCTGTGAAACAGGAAGAAAATGTTCAAATGGGAAGGGGCACTCGGGAGGGGGGTGGCAGAAAGGAAGAAAAGGAAAAGAAAAAATGACAAGAAAAGAAGGAAAAATGGAAATCAAGCTTTTGTAAATGAAGAAGGGATGAGGGATTGAAGGGAGGGTAAGGGAATGGGAAAAAAAATAATAGTTATATCATGTACAGGTCCAAATTCCCTGTGATGAATGTGATCACTATGTATACCTAAAATGTACCAATGAGCTTAATTAATTTAAAAAAGCACAGAATAAACAAAGAATAATTATTCTATTAATTGGATTTAAATTTTAGGGCAGCAGATAGAGCCCAAAACAGACCAGATGTTCCATAAAACAAGAGGTTCCATTGTATCTGCGGGGCAGTAGCAAGGCAGACCCTGTTTTAATTTTTATAAAGTAACATGGAGTTACCTGTCATTAGCTAATATGCTTCCCTATCAATCTTTCCCTGCTTCCTTCTCTCCAGCTTCCAAAATGCGTTATTCTGCCAATGCCTTGTGTAAGGTGCCATCCTCTTTGTGAACTGGATGATGCCTCAATTCATGAATGAAAAATAAAATGCAACCATATCTACTGGAAGAAAAAGAGCAGCTCACTCATTCACGTCAGTTGCTGTAATGTGTTCTTCCTTTGAGCACCTTCTTGCCTGGTTATGGACGATGTTAAATACCCTTTCAGCCAAGTCCACCTTTTAAATTTCTGCTCCCTCTGCTCTCCATAACTAGACCCTCACCCTGCTTCTTTCCCACCGCTCTCAGACTGTCAGCGTCACTGTATTCTCCCACCTCAGCCACAGTGTCTAACATGACACTGTCCCAGTACCTTCTCCAGGCAATTTCTAGTCGTTGTTAGCATCCCCTCCTGGCCATAGCCTCAAACCTTGCATCCCACACGTAGTCAAAAGCCTCCTTATGACTTCCTTCTGTGAGACCCTTCGCCTCATCAATCTTTCACAAAAGAGAGAAACTGGTGATTTAATTTATGCATGTTAAGGGCAGACAGGAGTGTGTATAAAAAGTTCTTTCCATTTTCTTTCATCTGAGGCACCTTTGGAAGGACTGGTACCTGTATTAGGCTCATGGGGCTTGTGAGAATGTGCCTTAATCCCACTGAGCAACAGGATCGGTCATTTTGGGTTTGTGCTTCCCTCAGCTGGGATGTATTTAAGTGTGTTCTCCAAGGGCTCGTGTGATGCGAGCTTGGCCCTCAGTTGTGGCAGTGGCGGGATGCTAAGGCCATGGGACCTAATGGAAATCCACAAGTCAGGACACGCCCCCTCTCTCTAACTTGCCCTGTGACCTCTCCCCCTAACCCTCTCTGTCCAACATTTTCACCATCATGCCATCTGCCACCAAGTGATGAGTCACATGGACCCTGGACAAAGCCAGTACTATGTGGTTTGAACTGTCAGTGTGCAAAACCATGGGCTGCATACGCCGCTTCCCTTCATAAGTCCCAGCCTCAAGTATTTCATTATAGTGACAAAACACAGATGATGACAAGTGGAACAGCAAAAAGTGGTAAAGATGCGATAATGCCTACTTTTTTAGGGGGTTGTTCTTTTTTGGGGGGAGAGCTGGTAACACTAAGATTTGGTTGAAGATATAAAGCCTCTGCTTATCTAAGTTGCTTTGGTTTCTTGCCAATAAATTTCTAGGAAGGAGGCTCATTTCAGAATCTCATAAGCGTACTGCATTTTTCTGTTTGTCATTCCTGCACTCTAGCAAATTTCTGGGTCAAATTCCAAAATTTTGCCATTTCCCCTGTGGGTATCATTAAAACAGTACATTTTCCTGGTTAGTTTTATGAGGCAGCCATGAAAAAGAAAGAAAGAAAGAAATTTTCAGGCTGTTTCCCCCATGTTTTATGATTATGTCCTTTGGGAGAGTATAGCCTAGATGATGCTCTATATAGATTTCTTTTTAAAACACAGGTCGGACTATCCAAAAATGTCTCAGTTACACAGCCCCAAGCCTCTTGTCTACATATTTCCCATGCAAGAAATTGCTTATTCTAAAAATCAGGCGTCTTTAGCTGATGCCACCCTCCTCCACCCTCAGTGGAGCCAGGATGTCACGCTAATACGCGATGCATCATTTACAGATGCCAGGCTTTGCAGAGGGAAACCCAAGTCCTATTAGATTAGAGCTGAAGGGACCCAGGGCCTGCTTCACTCTGAGCCCATGGTGCGCTGTGTGACTTAATTTCACACAGCTCCTTAATTGACCCCCCATGCTAAAGGCTTAACGGGACACCATGGTATTATATCCTGCAGATTTTAAATTAAAGTTTGAAGCTTCCCTCAGGACATGCACAGTACTCCAATTAACACTAATTGGCATTACACATGATTACCAAGTGAAAAACATGGTTTTCCTGAAAATGCTTCTTCTTTTTTCGGCTTTAAAAGCCCATAAATTCAAAGAAAACAGTCATGGATGCATGCAAAGATGAGATAGAATGATGTCTAGTATGGTGTTTATATTGGCAGAACGCTAGAAGCAAATGTCTATAATGGAGGATTATATGCATAAAACATAGTAAAGACAAAAGCAAGAATTCTTAATGTCATGAATAATTTTAACATAGGAAGATGTTCCTAATACACTGTTAAGTGAAATAAATGTTAAAGAATTGTAGAAATGACCCAATATTGTTTTTCTGCACAGCATAAATGAAAAAATACAGAACAACTTATACATTAAAGTGTAAGGAGTAATTATCTCTGAGTGATAAAACAGCACTGATATTTATCTTATTCATTTACAGCTCTCTTTTTTTTTTAAAGAAATGCATTACTTTTGCAAACAGAAAGGTTCATTTTTCAAAGCCTGTCATTGATTTTTGTAGAATAAATGCAAAGCAGTGATTTGTTTTGAAAATTTTCTAATCAATCCTTCATCTGTACCACCCTGCGCTGGGCACTGAGGACTCTGTCGATAACGTGCTAACCGTTTTCAAGGGATTTACGAGGGAAAACTGATTTTACAAGTGGAAAGATGAAGGCTGCAGGGAGTTGGGGCGGATGCCCATTCTCCTGTCACACTGAATCAACCATGTGAAACCCCACCCTGACAGGGTGCACTTACGTCTGTGTGTTTCTCTTCCAGAGCCAAAGATGTTTGTGTTGCTCTATGTCACAAGTTTTGCCATATGCGCAAGTGGACAACCTCGGGGTAGTCAGATCAAAGGAGAGAGCTACTCCCCAAGATATATCTGTAGCATTCCTGGCTTACCTGGACCTCCAGGACCCCCTGGAGCAAACGGTTCTCCTGGGCACCATGGTCGAATCGGCCTTCCGGGAAGAGATGGTAGAGATGGCAGGAAAGGAGAGAAAGGCGAAAAGGGAACTGCAGGTAATGAATGATAAAGTTCCGTAAAACATTCCTCCTTCATCCCACCTAACACTACTCCCTTTCTTTATTAACTCTTTTTTTTTTTTTTTTTTTTTT